CAATTATAGACTGGGAACAGGTGTGGCAACACCTGAGTGATTATAGACTGGGAACAGGTGTGGCAACACATGCGTGATTATAGAGTGGGAACAGGTGTGGCAACACAATTATAGACTGGGAACAGGTTTGGCAACACCTGAGTGATTATAGACTGGGAACAGGTTTGGCAACACCTGAGTGATTATAGAGTGGGAACAGGTGTGAGTGGAAGGCTGACTGAGGGCAGAATGGACGACACTGCAAAGACTGAAACAGAAACTCTACTTGTCCTCCAGTCCCAATGTCATGGAGAACACCCTGCAGCGTACCTTGGGGGACTTGGTCAAATCCCTTCTCCAAGTCCACAGAACTCATGCAGACCGATTGGACAAACCCTCCATGCTCCATCAAGGACTGAGGGTAAAAATCTAGTTCTTCAGCTGACGCCCATAGCGCTGTGCACTCAACCTGTACGGCCCCTCCTGCAGGTGGTGAGCCCATACAAGTCAAACTTGTGTAGCTCATTCAGGCATTCATTCTGACCACGCCCCATGGCACAAGCCCCTCCCCATGGCCTGGCTCCATGGTGGGGCTGTTTAATGAAGGACCAGTCTGCATTGGGAGACCTTACCAGGGGCGATTGTCCTCCACAACATAAGTCCTTGGACCATTCGGGCACACAGACTCCAGGGTCTTTATCAGAGAGCAGTGGGGGCGCATGTAGCAGAATTACTTTAACCCAGCTTGATGTTTAAAACTCATGGTCAACGCTCTGACGAGGACTTTTCAAGCCCAGCTTTCGTCTCTTATCCTGGAACAGTCAGTTCTGCTTTCCCCAGGACTGAAATTAATTTGGCCGTTTCACCAGAAACAGTAAAACAGGAAGTGGATCCAACAGTCACGTTAGAGTAGTTTACCTGGGCTGCCGCAGCGGTGCTCTGCACTGCTGCATATATCATCAAACACCCGATGATCTGGGGACGAGTAGAAACAAAAATTTACTTAAATTAAACAATAAAAAGACCAATTTGAAAACATCATTAACGTAAGACCAACTCGGACCTAAATATTTAACGTGCTAAATATTTAGCTTAAACCTAAATATTTAGATTGAATTCAAATTCCTTGCCGAAAAGCGGAAGTGGACTATCAAAATAAAAGCTGAACCTCTATGTATACACCTCTTGCCAATCATGGCAAACAAGTTAGCAGAGAACATCGGACGAGCTGTTCTAACGGTCGTTCACTCATGTCCACGTCCAGAGGGAAAGAATGATGATAATATACGGCACATAAGAGAAAACTGAAGCGATTCAGTCTGGCCAGCTGCAACTACTCTTCTTCTAAATATATTTAAATATTTAACTCGCAAGTTAAATATTTAAATATTTAATTTTCAAGTTAAATATTTGGGCCTGAGCTAAATATTTAGTTAGCCAATTAAATATTTAGTTTAAGAATTAAACGTTTAGCTTAGAAATTAAATGTTTAGTTTGGAAATTAAATATTTAGCTCGGACAATAAATATTTAGTTTGAAAATTAAATGTTTAGTTTTGAAAATAAATATCTAGCTTGGAAATTAAATATTTAATTTACACCTAAATATTTAGTTCACTAACTAAATATTTAACTTGTAAGGTAAATAGTTTTGCTTGTAAATTAAACATTTACTTTGGACATAAACATTTCGTTTGTAAACTCAATATTTAGTGTGGAGCTAAATATTTAGCTTGCTAACTAAATATTTAACATAGTTAAGTATTTCGGTTGTAAACTAAATATTTAGCTTGCAAATTAAATACTTAGTTTAGAACGATAATATTTATATATGTATGAATAACATGGTGAAAATATGACTAACGGCTAAATAAACCAAAGTATTGCTGTTAATTTTTGACTGTGTGACTTTACAAAGGGCACCCCATAGAGACACATCACACAAAGTAGCGTATGAAGTAACGTGTTCATGAGTAAAAACGTTGAAACGTCTGAATAAAGCTGCTGAAAGTGAAGTTTTCATGTCTGGGACATTTTGTTCTGACAGACGGGCTTCCTCCTCTTTAACTCCACCTTCTGTTAATCAACTTTTGTTTTTATTTCTCCTCCAGCAGGCTGGAACCTGCAGGAGGGGCCGGGCTCAGACTTTTTCTTTTTTCTCTCCTCTTACTGGAAGTGCTCGTTTACTCTGCAGAGTCTGGATTAGATTACTGTTAGGGGACCAGAAGAAGCCCCTCTGCTCAACATTTCACGATTTCAAATGAATTTTTAGTTTCAGGTGAAATCTGTTTAAACCAGAACAGGCCCAGACTCTGCTGATTCAAGTTATTAAAACACTTTTTTTAGGTTTCAATTAAATAAAGATTAAGTTTTTTTTTTTTTTTTGCAGTGAACAAATATAAAACAATTAAGTTGGATCTTTACTCTTTGCAAAATCAAATAATAAAAACATAAACACATAATTTTAGGATATAATCTGTAAAATTAAAGAAAAGCCACCAACAAAACATGTAAATCATGTTTATTAATTTATTTTTTTGTTCCTCCCGTTTAATAAAAACTAAAAATGCCCTTTAAAATAAAATAAAAATCTGAGTTTAACTTTTTATATTTTAGGGAATAAACATTTTAAATAAACTACGCTTTGCTTTTGAATTAATCCTAATTTACAGTTTTCTGCTGCTTTTTGCATCAAAACTGTAAACCTTGTGAAAAGAACGTTTTTCCACTCACAGCAAACAGCACGTTGAAGAAGATGAACACGCACTTCAGGCAGCCGTTGATTTTTCCCATTTTCCCTTCGTTTGGTTGGAGCGTGAGGAGAAAGTGTGTGGTCCGGTGGTGCAGCGTGAAGTGTGCTGTGAGGAGGGGGAGCACAGATTCATGGCACGGAGCAGACCTGCAGCCAATCAGCTGCATCCTGTGCACCACCACAGAGACGGGCGGGCGGGTGTTGGTGGGTGGGGAACAAAATACACAAACAGGAGAAACAAGACCTGCTATAGAATGAAAGATGCTACAAGAAATCATTCCCAGAACTGTAATATATTCACCATGTTCTGGTCCCAGTAAGGGCCGGACATGAACCTCAGTGGGGATAAATTCCTCCCTGTGATGGAGGAGACGTCCTGGTTCCCATAATCTCAACTTTAACACGGTGCTCAGTAAACAACTCTTCAAATCACCTCGGCCCTCAGCTTCCTGTGCTCCACTTTCAGTGTGCCACACACCACGACACCAGACAGCCCTGTGACTACCTGCCCCGTGTAAACCGCGGTCGGGCGACGTTTGTTTTCAGAGGCACAAATTAAGATGTTTATGGCAATCAAAGGGTCACATAATAAAAAAACCTCTTTGAGACAAATAATCTGGAAGACTATTTTCAGGCTTTAGCATAGTTAGCACGTCTCTTCAATATTCTTTAGAAATAAAAGATATGCTGTCTGAAAACTGCCTCGTGTATATATATATATATATATAGTCTT